CAAAAAAAAAAAAAAAGAATCCATTTTCACCAGGTGCAGTGACTCACACCAATCAGAAAATTAGCCAGGTGTTGTGTGTACCAGCTATTGAGGAGGCCAAAACTGGAGGCTCTCCTGAGTCTAGGAGGTCAAGGCTATGATGAACCGTGATCATGCCACTGCACTCCAGCCTGGGTGACGGAGTGAGACCCCAACTCAAAAAAAACAATAATCAATTTTCACCCTTTTGGGGACACTTATTGAGAATGCATGCTACAGAGCAGGACTTCCTATGCTTAACACTATTGCCATTTGCACCTGATCATTTTTCCTTGTGAGGCTCTTCTGTACACTTTGGGACATTTAGCAGCATCCTTGGCCTCTACCTATTGGATGTCATTAGCACACCCCCAGGTGTGATAACCCAGAAGGTTTCCAGACATTGCTAAGGGAGGCCAAAGAGCTCCCGATTGAGAACCACTGTTCTTTTTCTTCTTCTTTTTTTTTTTTTTTTGAGTGAGAGTCTCACTGTTACCCAGGTTGGTGTGCAGTGGCACTCCCACAGCCACTGCAGCCTTGACCTGCTGGGCTCAGGTGATCCTTCTGCCTCAGCCTTCCAAGTAGCTGGAACTACAGGTGTGTGCCACTACGCCCAGGTAAGTTTTTGATTTATTGTAGAGATGAAGTCTCACCAAGTTACCCAGACTGGTCTCAAACCCCTGGACTCAGGTAATTTTCTCGCCTCCACCTCCCAGAGTGGTGGGATTACAGGCTTGAGGCACGGTTCCTGGCCAGAGAACCACTATTCTTGAGTATAAACTGAGCGTCGGTGATTGAACAGAAAACAGGAAATGCCCTATATTTTGACAGCGATGGTGCGTGGTACCTGGCATTGGTCCTTCTTACTGCAATGGAGATTTTGCATAATGTCTTAAGGGAAAAAGCAGGGCTACAGTTGGTGCATATGATAAAACAGTTTTGAGGAAAGAAAGCACGACTGTACGTTATTTGTGTATATTTGGGGTGTGGAATGCTGTATACGAAATTGTTTATAGTGGTTATCTCTAGGCAGTGGAATTAACACATACCATTTCTACCTTAGGAAGTTATTATTTATGTAACGTTTAAAGTATCTATTATGGGGAGAAACCTAATTTTGTGTTTTTCTTTTCCTTCTCTCTGGCTGATGGGGAGGGTTAATAGAAGATAAGCTTTTTGCTGAGTTTTTTTTGGAAAAATGAGTTTGGAGGTCTGAGCCGGGGAGACTTTTCTAGGTAATCATTAAGCCTTGTCATCTCAGCAGATGCTCAGATATTTTCCGCAAACAAAAACTTGCATTATGATGGCTACATTGGGATCTCTTTTTTTTTTCCTCCTCTGTTTTGATTTGTAGGTTGAAAATGAATATGGCAGCTACTTTGCCTGTGATTACAACTACATGCGTTTTCTGATGAAGCTCTTCCGCCGCCACCTGGGTGACGACGTGGTCCTGTTCACCACTGATGGGGCACATGAAAAATTCCTGCAGTGCGGGGCCCTGCAGGGCCTCTACGCCACAGTGGACTTTGGAGCAGGTTAGTGTCTTTGGTAACAGAAAATGCTTTTAAAATGGGTTTTTTGGGGGGGAGGGGCGGGGAGCTGGGTGCAGTGGCTCGCGCCTGCATTTCCCAGCACTTTGGGAAGGCCAGGCAAGAGGATTACTTGAGCCCAGGAGTTCGAGGCTACCCTGGGCAAGACCTTGTCTCTACAAAAATTTTTTTAAAAAATTAGCCAGGCGTAGTGGCATACACCTGTTGTCCCAGCTACTTGGAAGACTGGGCAGAAGGATTGCCTCAGCACAGGAGGTTGGGGCTGCCATGAGCTGTGAGCCATGAGTGTGCCACTGCACTCCAGCCTCAAGCGACAGAGTGAGGTTCCAACTCAAAACAAAACAAAACAAAAATCAACTTTTTACTCAGCTGATTGCTGATTGGGCAGTTGTTGTTTTGAGTGTCACAGGAAGTTTTCATGAGGTTTCTCACATTTTTCGTTATCAAGTAACAGGTAAAATAGAATAATTGCACCTCTCAGTAGCAGAGGCGTCTCTGTAGGGTAAGAGTCTCCAGGGTAGCTGCATTCTCAGCTCTCAGCACGGGTGGAGCCAGCCTGGGTCATGGATGAGGAGGGTGGCAGGACCAGCTGTGAGAAGCCCTGCCTTGAGACAGTCGCCTTTTAAGCCCTGTCTGGGGTGTACTTCTCCACCCCTGCCCTCCCTATCCTCCCGTCTTGGCAGGACACTTAGAGCTGTGTCCCAGCCGAAGCCAACTTTGAAGTCAGCTGACTGCACTTTTGTTATCTTTCTGGATTCTAAGGATTCTGTTATCTAAGGATTCTGTGAACGGTGAAGGATGGAAGTGGTCTGATAGATGCTGCAGAAATAAACTTGCCAGACCCCCTAGTGCCACACAAGATGTGGAGATTCTGCAAGTGAAAGTCCTGGATAGGCAGGCGGCCTAGCTAGGATGCTTCTGGCTATAAGAAATGTTAACAGGCGGGGTGCGATAGCTCAGCCTGTAATCCCAGCACTTTGGGAGGCCGAGGAGAGAGGATTGCCTGAGCCTGGGGGTTCGAGACCAGCTTGAGCAACTTGGTGAGACCTCGTCTCTCCAATAAATAAAAAATAAGCCAGGCATGGTAGCGTGCACCTGTAATTCTGGCTACTTGGAAAGCTGAGGCAGAAGGATTGCCTGAGCCCAGAAGTTTGAGACTGGGGTGGCTGTGAACATGCCACTGCACTCCAGCTTGGGCAACGGAGTGAGATTCTAACTCAAAAAAAAAAAATGTTAAGAGTCTTCATTTAGAGTGAGAGCAGCTTTCATAAGGTATGTAACAGCTAAATGTCAGACTGGACTTTTGTTTTTTGCTATGAAGGACATAATTGAGACAATTGCAATCTTTGAATAAAGTCTATATATTAGATAATAATATTGTATCAGTAGAGTTTTCTGATTTTTTTTGAGGCAGGGGTCTCACTCTGTCTCCCAGGCTAGAGTATAGTGATATGATCACAGCTCACTGTAGCCTTGACCTCTTGGGCTCAGGTGATCCTTCTGCCTCAGCCCCCTGAGTAGCTGGGACTACAGGTGTGCACCACCACACCTGGCTATTTTCAATTTTTTTTTTGTAGAAATGAGGTCTTGCTATGTTGCCCAGGCTGGTCTCAAACTCCTGGCTCAAGCAGTCCTCCTGCCTCTGCCTCCCAGAGTGCTGGGATTATAGGCATGGGCCACTGTGCCTGGCAATTCCTGATTTTTACCATTCTATTCTATTTATTTAAAGAGTGCCCTTGTTCTTAAGGAAGTATTTAGGGGTAAAAGGCATCGTGTTGCAATTATTCTCAAATGACTCAGAAAAAAAAAAATATATTTTTTTTAGAGAGCGAGACTGATAGAGTAAATCTAGTAAGATGTTAACAACTGGGGAATCTAGGTGAAGGGAATACGAGAGTTCTTTGTACTCTTCTTATAATTTTCTATAGGTTTGAAATTATTTCAAGACAAAAAGTTACAGTCTGCACATAGTGGCTTATGCTTATAATCCCAGTGCTTTGGGAGGCCAAGGTGGGAAGTGTTCTCAGCCTGGGCAATGTGTAACAAGACCCCATCTCTACAAAAAAATTGTTTTAAATTAGCCTCGTGTGGTGGTGCATGCCTGTGATCCTAGCTATGCAAGACCATTCGAGGCCAGGAGCTCGAGGTTACAGTGAGCTGTAATCATGCCACTGCACTCCAACCTGGATGACAGAATAAGACCCTATCTCTCTCTATTTTTTTTTAGTTGGCGTTTCACTCGGTCGCCCAGGCTGGAGTGCAGTGGCACGCTCACAGCCACCGCAGCCTCGACCTGCTGGGC